CATTTTCTGGGGAAAAATTGTCTTCAGTGTTGGATGTCAATGCTACCCATAAAAATTTGAATCACATGCATCAAATGATGCCTGACAGATAGTGGTACTGTGGGAAAAAACAAGAATAAAAATACAAACTTCTTTGAGTAATGTGTTCTGCTGTGACATGTAGAATTTACACTTGTTTGTTTACCAAAGGAATAATGGAGGGGGGAGTGGAAAATCAAGAAAGCTAGAACCAGAAAGGAATTTTCTATAGGTCATACAAATCAAATTTGATAAAATTATTGTAAAAATATTAAATAAGGGTAAGACAAAGTGAAATGTCTATATGAGCATGTAAAATGAACTGCTAAATATTCTATTAAAATATGTTTTAAAAAAGCATGGTGAGTTCATTTGCATGTATTGTATGGTGTTGTTTGTAGACCAGCTTCTCTCTTGAGTCAACCAAGTGCCCCTCACACCCCTTCCCAGCGCCGGGTCTGTTGTGGGCGCTCAATAAATATTAAACAATTGAAGTAAAACTATTTTCAAAGGTTTGAAATTCACAGGAACCAATCATATTGTTATTACCATTTAAAATTTATTGAGGGTCAACAACAAGACTTAATCAACATATGGAAATTTGTTATTTTATAATCACACATCACACAAATCATTAAATACAATTGGGTCGACTAAGCCTTTTAATTTTACTCCATTGACTTTTTAAAGATTAAATAACTGTGGTATACCAGGAAATATAAACACAGTCATTCAAATATGTAGGACTGTCTCAGGGAAACCACTGCTCTCAGATATTTTTAACCATCTCTTAAAACTCAGAATAAGTCTACAGTAATTACACATCACAGATTCAAAAATGACCAGTGCATTCACAAAGACTGAGAATATCTACTGAGACAGAGGAACATAAAGACTCACATACAATGTAATGGTTTTCCACTGGTTGTCCTGACAAATTGAAAGGTTCTTACAATTATATGGGTAACATGGTTTACAGAATCACATCCAACCCAAAGAAAGACAGAAATCATTCACATGCATACAGATTAGGTTGCTTATGAGTGCTGAAACATTTCTAAGTTTAAGGCAAAAGTGAACAACTGATTATAGGAAATTAACTTTGATATGGTTTTGATGTATACTCTCATATTTCACCCTTCATAAAATGATCAGTAATTGTGCTCACATTCATGTTGTTGGTTAATTGGAAACCAAATTCTGTTCATAAAGAATTGTCATGTTTCAAATTAACTGGGATGTAAAGTCATTTTATTTTCTAAGAGGATGGAATACTACACGTAATAAATATGTTATTACTCTTTTAAATTTACATTAAGGTACCAAAGTGTACATAAGCATTTAAGATTATAAAGTATGATTTTCATTGCAATCTTATAATATAAAAACAAGAGGCTTTCTAGACAAGGCCTCCCATAAAATAATAATATTCTGAAGTAAGAAATACTCCATTTAACAACTTTCTACCAGAGTATCAGAAATTTTTCATTTGAAAAAAGTATTAGCTTTTTATTGTTCCCTAAATTGTAACGTGTTTTGAAAGCTAGGATAAGGTATACTTTATTGAACTTGGTACATGACTTTGCATAATTAAACAATTATTTAACTTTCTCTTCCCTTTTGCCTTATTAAGAAGTTCACATTAACATACTTATAATTAATAAATAACAATTTCCATATCTTTGTCCTTATGACTGTTCATCACACAGGACTTCTTAAGAATAAGAACCAACTATAAATATATAAGAACTGATAGAGTTGATGAATAATAATTCACTTTCCTCAATTAGTTCTACTTTTAAATTGGTATGGTAAAGATTTAATCTAACTTCTTAAATATTGCCTACTCTCTTGGGGAGGACTTTGACTTACAGAATAATCTTTTAGCTTTACAGTGTCTTGGGCTCAAGTTGTTGATCTGGGTTAGCTAATACTTCTTTCTTGACATTTTTCTCTGTGTTTGCAATCAACCAACAAATATTGAGCACACAGTTGGAAGGCCATAGTGATAGGCTCTGAGAACAAATCCTAAACAATTCAGTGTTCAATAATGTCATGAATCAGAGTGAATGACAAAAAAGAAATTGGTGACTATTTTCCCCACCTTTCCATTGTTGCAGAAAACTTATTTTAACCTTACTATTGAGACCCCGAAGAATTGTCTTGTCTGTCCTCTTTCTGTACCTCACTATGCTTCTTTAGAGTGGCTTTTCCCCTCCTTCAGCTAGTACTAAGAAACATGCATCAGTCATTTCCTTCAGAAGGAGAAAAATTGAAAGACAAGGAAGGGGAATTTAAGATTGCAGGTCTGTTTTGAAAAAAGAACACAAAAACATCTACTTTTGATAAAGTAAATATCAACAAAAGAGCAGTTTTTAGTAACAAGCATTACATCATTGAATCACAATGCACTCTCTTAAGACACGGTTAATGAAATGTAATGATGCATTGCTTCATGGCAGCACATATGTGACATTTTTAACTTTGCCACACTGATTCCTCTCATAAGCACAGCCCTAACAGTTGTGGAAAACATTTATTGAGAGCTATTCTGATATGTCTAAATACATCCGTGTGTGTGTGTGTGTGTGTGTGTGTGTGTGTGTGTGTGTGTGTGTGTTCCTAATTAAATGGCTTTTAAAATTAAGGATGTACAAAATCTTAATCCTCAAATCTATGTTCTAGCCAACTTTAGATCTGCACGAGAAAAATAAAAATAACATAATGCACTATAAACTAAAAATAAAATAGCTTTTTTTTTTAGTTCTGTAGATCTTAGTCCTCCTAGTCTCCCCCTTCTTGTATGTGATGATGCCTCTTTTTCTAAATTAGGTTCATGAGTAATTAATTCTACCTATTCCAAAAATGCATTCCCATAATATAAAGTGGGATTGAGTTAACATATTCATGCATAGCTGGGATGCACCTACACCCAGCAGATCAATGTGCACAAGATTCAGTGCACACAGCACATTGAAACCTGGCAAGAGTTATACAAATCATGATGTTTTCCCTAGGAAGCCCACAAGCTAAAACTTACATGAATAAAAAGGTATCTTTGATGATATTTGATCATTCTCAATGCATTATAAACTCATCTATATAATGGAAATTTTTTAAGTTAACTAAAACTGTGTAGTAGAGAAAAGAAAACCTAGTTCTAAAACATCAGTTTAAGATTTAATATTAGAATTCTATCATGAAACACATAGATCAGAGTTAGGATTATTTCACATGCAAACTCTCTGCTTTATTCATATCTATTTTTCTCATCAACTATTTGACATAAATGTACCACCACAAAAATGGCAATGTGTTTAAATATACGATTTTCTGTTATGTTTATAGTTTAAAATGTGAGAGGCCATTCTCACACATTTAAAACTGAAATGTTTACAATTATTACAAAAATAATTGTCTTTGTTTTATATAAGCCTATAATCCTAAGCTTTCATAAGATACAATATAATTTTAATAAAATTATGATACAAATAATCTGCAATAGTAAGTTCACATCCTAATGAGCCATTGCCAACTTCAGAAAACATCAATGAGTGAAGAGAAGTGGCACTGATAGACGTAAACAGGCAGTGTTCCTATCAATCATGTTAGGCACCACTTTTATTATTACCTTGCTCTCCATTACTAGTCATTCTACTTTTAACATGCTGTAGTGATTTACAGCATCCAGCAAGGTGGGGATGCTGTTTAACGGGGCAGTGTCTGCTCGGCATGTTTAAGGCCTTAAAGTCAATCCTGAATACAAAAATAAGTATGAAAAAAAAAGAAAAATAAGAAGTAAAACAAGCTATGATAAGTTATTGTTCTGACTAGAGAACAGAAAACCATGGTGCTCAGTGGATTAAAGTGTGCTTTGATAATTTAACAAAACTGTTTCATGAGACAAAAAGACCTAAGGAAGTATATATTTATATATGTGATTTAGGAATTTATAATTTGTTACATCCTTTATACATATGATTTCTTATTTGAGTTACACAGTATCTTGTCAGAAAAGCGGCTTGGGAACAATTGTCTTCATTTTGAGTAAGAAATTTGCACACAGAGAGCCACATACATGAACAGGCCAAAGCACGAGCCTGTGCTTTGTATTTCAGACACTAACGTGGGCGCTTTCACCCAGACAAAGCTGCCTCAATAAGTGCACTGACACCTAAAATTGTTGGTGGTATCCAGAAGCCAAAATAAATGGAAAAACTTTATCAATATAATTATCATGCTATTTTCTCTGTAAAAGTCTCTAAATCTTTTCACTTAGTTGAGCTGCAGGAATAAGCACAATATTGCTCTCAATGTTTAAAAGAGAGAGCTCAGAAGCATTTTTAAAGCATATGCTGGAGTGATATTGTAGTATAGCTACATTGAACCATATATATATATATATATATATATATATATATATATATATATATATATATGTTATATACATATATATTCATGACTTTAAGATGTATAATGTTAAATTTTCAGGCCTTTTGGATGAATCAACAAGCAAAGTCATTGTATAAACTATAATAGCTTTTGCTGCCATTTGCCCCAGTGTGTTAATTTAGCAAATTATTTTTAAAGTAATATAAATTATTTTTCATAAATAGGGTTAAATCATGTTTATTCTTTGATCTGTGAGGTGGTTTTGAATGAAAAACCAAGCAGAACGTGTCTACTCGTTACCTAGCTCATTTTCTCATTATCAATACCCTTCAGCATCTCTGCTGGTGTGATGAAGCAGTAGGTACAGGTTTCCTGTTCTGAATTTATACTCAAAGCTTGATACACAAAAGAAAGACAAGGCCAGATAGTCGCCTCCCATTCTCCTGTCCAGAAAAACATGCAGGGACATTGCTATGGAGCACGAGATTTAAAGGTTATTGTCTTCCACCTGTCTGAATCCAGTGTTTTCCTCCTCGTGTTGTTTTCTTTCTAAAGAAGATAATGTCAACCTGCTTCACTTTTTTTTTTACCTTGCTCCACTGTCTTGGATTTCTCTTCTTTCTTTCCGTGCACGGCTGCAAAGCAAAGATAAGGTTTAAATAAGAATTCCAGCCTGAAATGTTTATTCTGCACATAAAAGCATTTGGGAATGCATTCAATACCAAATATTGCTTCTAAACAAGCTCTTCTCTAATGCTTTTAAAATATTTCTCATCTCTCTATAATGCGATTGAAATCTGTTTTAAATCTAATCTTAAGGAATTAGAACCAAAAAAGAGAAGCAATAATCCCTTCAGTCTCCAGGCCCCACATTCTTTTCTTCCACACTCTTTTCTACTTTATTCCTTTATGCTGTGTTTTTATAAACAAGCTACAAAGAACTGCACTTGACAGTACTATGATTAATTGACTTACATTCCAGGTTATTGCTGGAGTCACAGTATCTTACAAATGCCAACCAGATGCACCTTAAAATTCAAACTTAGCATGTCTTCATCAACTCCAAGGACAGTGCTGTCACGCTTGAGAAGCATTTAAATATTAAACAAACCCATCCCACATCACAAGTAGCCAAAAGAGATAATGAAATCTTTTAAAGTGCTATATCCTCTGATTCATGGTTTATCTAAGAGTCATTGCTCTTCATTGAAGATTTGCTGTTTACCTAGTTAAACGTCAAAGGAGCAGAAAATTTTCATAGGAAATCAGTGCCTCTAGCTGAAGTAACTGATTCTAGAAAGAATCTTCAGAGAATTTGAACATCTATGAGATGAAGAAATGATGTGGAATTGAGTCATGTCATGACAACCAACTCCATGGAGAGTTGCAAATGGGGAAATGCAGCTTTAAATGAATAAGTGAGTCTGCTACTGGCTTTACTCATTTTGGAAACAGAAGTATTTCTTCACTGGGGCCTTCAGAGAGATGCTGCTTCCTGATGAGAGAACGTGCAGTGTATTGAATATTCTGCAGTATTCTTGGTCAAAGCATCTAACTGGAATTCAGTTAAACCAGAGGTCCAGCTTTCATTTTAATCAAATGCAAGGCGTAGTAAGCACATCAATCAATATTTGAAAGAAGTCAAATAAAAATATCCATTGGTCACTATCCCTGAAGAAAGGAAAAGTGGGAGGGAGTAATGGAAGGAGGGAGGTATGAGGGGTCAGTAAAAAAAGGAAGGAAGAAAACAAGGAAAATCAAAGGAAGATGTGATGGATTTTATCCTTTGATGTATTTGCTTAAAAAAAAGAACACCCTGAAGTTTTAATATTTACTTGCCAGAAATAAAATGAAGTAGATTTTTAAGGAAACAGTCTAACCCCCAAATAGAACTCTTGAATGAGGAAAAAGTTTAGTTCAAAAGCAAATTAGAATTTCCAAGTCTCACAAATCCCACTGGTAGAGACAGTTTCTGAATAGGGAGAACTTTAGGGACACATCAGTGAGGGTTGTGTTTTTATTTTCTACTCATGTTAAATTGCAGTCAGTGTTAGATTAGGACAGTTCACGGAGCATAGGAACTGGCTTTCATCTGGAAGGACAGGAGCACTATTGAACTCCTACAATGACAAATTTTAGGAACCGAATTGCTCTAAGAAATGAAGCACATGGTTAGGACTTGTGTTACAATTTGTACAGGGGGTCACGAGTCCCAGGAGATTGAGTAAGGCTCTCAAGGATACATTCCCACTTGGTCATATAAATGCTGTTTCAGTGATGGCACCCTATCTAACCTCGAGTCTTAATCTTTAAGTAATAATGCAGGTAATGCTTTGAGTGCTGTATTGAGACAAAAAACACAAAATCAAAAACAAAATTTGCTCAGTTATGGCAATTATAATGCACAGTAGGTGGAAGTAACCTCTCTCTCTCTCTCTCTCTCTCTCTCTCTCTCTTCTTTCTTTCTTTTTCCATCTCCCTTCCTTTCTTTTCTTCTTCTTTTTCACTCTGCCTTAAACAAAATCATCGCTTTTCACAGAAAATTTTCTATTAATTTTCCAATGTTATTTAAGAATAAGGAGGTAATTAATTAAAATAAGAAATAATTGAAACAAAGTTAAAATTTAGTAATATATTAATTCATTCTGAAACAATATCCTAGAAATCGGCCAAGAGAGAAAAAAAGAGGGGAAATATACAATAATATAACAAACATGAATGAAGTGAATTTTACTATAAATAAAATTAGATTTTTAAATAAAAGAATATCAAGAACAAAGAAACAGCCAAATTTGGAGAAAAAAAATGGTTCAGAGACTGAGAAATGCAGGCATTGATAGTCAGATGCTGAAAACACAAGTTTCTTAAAGGGACAAGAGTTTAAATTTATGTTTTCCTTAGACTGTTACTCAAATAAAACTTAAAAAATTTTATTTCTTTAGCTAGGCCTACTTTATATATATATATATATAATTTGGAAGGCTGAAACTTGAGTTTGAGATCAGCCTGGACTGTATATTGAAAGTCTGTTGAGTCAACTAACTAACTAACAAATAAATAAATGAATGAATAAAGGTACACATCACAGTCCTATCTCTTTGAAAAGGTTTAGTCTTTCTAGTGGCAATATCAAATTGTCTATTTAATTAGAATTTTCTTGCTACCTCATGATGATATGCTTTTAATGCACATGGTTTAGATACATAGACTTGAAGGCTTTTGTATGAGATTCTAATTTTGATTTTATTTCTTTATTCACTGGTTTCTTTAGTTTTGAGACTACAATATAGTTAAATTTCTCCCTTCCCTTTTCTTTCTTCACACCCTACCATATATCCCTAGCTACTCTTCTTCAAGTTCATAGCCTTATTTTCTCATTAATTATCATTGTATATGTATATGTATACACACACACACTATGATTATATATATATATATATATATATATAATCAATTTAGCCTGTTCAGTCCATATAATTATATGATATATGTATTTATAACATATGTGTGTATTTAGCATTGATTATTTCTCACTAGCTTATGCTCCCAGAATACTTATTTATTATTTACTATTTCAAGAACAATGATAGTGTTCAATAAGAAAGTAACAAAGGAAAAATGGAGAGAAAAAAAGCCATAAAGGACAAACAGAAGTGAGGTAACTCCTTGCACTCACATTAAATAGAATGTTAGCTTCTAAGAACTATGTTTCACAGTATGTGCAGAGGACCTTCCAGTACCATGAACGCTAGTCAGTAAGGGTTAAGACTATATGTGTACAGCAGCTTGACTTCTCCATGTTCAATGAGGTGTATAGGTTCATAAAAAAAAAAAAAACAATTACGTGCAATGTAGTGTTGTAGTAACACATAAAATGGTCCATGTATGAAGGTTATTTTAGAAAAGTATACTGAAGACTGATCATGGGAATTAGTCATTTTAGTGAAGTTGGACCTCATATTATGAATTGTTGGAGGAAAGAGAATGTTAAATAAAGTGGTTTATTCAGTGTTGTGTATTAATCATTTACTGTGGCTTTTAGTGAGTTTTAATATAAATATAAACACCCTAGGTCAGTCATTTGATCATAACAGTAGGTCAGGTAGAAGACAATGAAGATTTGAATTGTATTGACAAGAGGGTTATGAATGCAAACACATATACAGGTAATATTTAAGGAATAAAAACAGAAATACATTAAGATTATTTGAAAAAGCAGGTAGTAGAAATAAAGAGAAAACTCAAATTGTTTCCAGATTTCTAGTGAAGTAAAGAGTGGATAATGAAAAGCAAGTGGGGAGGAGAGATTAGCCAGTTTGAGTTGAGGAGGGTTGAGTCTGAAGTTGTTTAATTGAACAATTGAGAACACAAGCCTGAAATGAATAGTAAAATTCGAAATGGAGATACGATAGGAATCTTTAGAATATAGGACAGAATTGTGATCTTGGCACATCTACACATAAGTCAAGGATAGAATATGAAGCTTCAGTTAATAATGGGGTCCATGGGACACCAACAATTAAGTGTATCTACAGGAAAGATATACAAAGATTTAAAGAAGTAAAGTTCAAAGACTAGGAAGAGAAATGGTGGACTAAGTTGCCTTAGAAGTTCCTCACCAGACCCAGATAAAGTGAAAGTTCCAGTTGAGGACTTTAATTATTCAGGGATTAATGCGGTTCATTGCATTAGCAAGGGAAACACTGTCAGGATTAGCCACATGCAGCATGCCTCTTGGAGACCCAGGATTCCTCCTGAGATATACTGATGCTCACATATGTCTTGCAAAGCTTCATCACCTTGCCTTGCTCTATTGCTGAGACCAAAGATGCTCTCATAGATCCTTCTCACATTGCAAAATTTATCTGTTATTAAAGGCTTACTTCTAAAAATCACAGCAAAGCAAATCTTTTGATGTTTTCCAGGAAAGAATAAATTTTAAACTGCCATGTCACTTCATCTGAATTTATCTCCCTGTTGGACTTAGGCCCTGAGCTATAGTTTTACTGAAAACTTTTTACTGAGAGTGAAAATAGAGTAAATATTTTTCCAGTATCTTATTTGCTCACGAGTAGAATTAACTCTCATATTTTCTTTTAATTGATATATAGTATTGTATCCATAAGCTTATGTTGAATGAAAGTGAAAATAAATAGAAAGCTGTAAAATTAAAAAAAAGATGGTGTCAAATGATGATTTAATATCATGTATCTTTAAATAAAATATTAATGGAAAATAATTCATACAAGTTATCAATTAGTACATTATAGCTTACTTACTAAATTGTAGTTGAATTATTATTAACTTTGAAAATTTTATAAATTTTCACAAAACCAACAGATTTCACTCTATCATGTACAGTCCCTTGCTCAAAGTCAACTTGGAAACAAAAAACAACCACTAATTCAGTCTTCTTATTCTATTTAATTGTGAGAGATTCTAAGGTAACAAGTGCTGTGGGTGCTTTATTCATATCAGAAGAATAAGTATGCTCCATTTGAGAGAAAAGGAAATGTGCACACTAGTGAACACATGATGAGAAAAATCAGCTTTAGTGTTGTTTTGTAATTTGTCAATTATGTTAAGTCCCTCTCTGAGTTTATGATAACTTTGGAAGCAATGTGTGATTCTGTTGATCTTTCATTATGCGCCAAACCAACATGTAGAACCATATTTAAAACAATAATAGAGATACAAGATTAATTAGCAAAGAAGTTAGTTATAATATCTTATGTTTATAAGTAGATCGCATTTCTGTCATTTGACTCGAAAAATTTACCAAGCAAGCTCATTTCAACAAAAATATTGGCCATGTTATAAATTTATGACATTCTTAGTTGAGGATTCTGATGAGTTCCATAATTAATTATACAGTTTTGATCTCATATCATTATTTACTCTCTATTTACATGGTTGAATTGCAAAATCAAATGCATGTATTTATGCCTTAAATACTCAAGGTAAAAATGCCTCAATCAATCTCCCCTAAGATCCAGCTATACCACTCTTGGGCATATACCCAAGGAATGCTCAATCATACCACAAGAGCACTTGCTTAGCTATGTTCATATCAGCATTGTTTATAATAGCCAGAACCTGAAAACAACCTAGATGCCCTTCAACTGAAGAATGGATAAATAAAATGTGGTACATATACACAATGGAATACTATTCAGCAGAGAAAAACAATGACATCATGAGGTTTGCAGGCAAATAGATGGATCTAGAAAAAATCACCCTGAGTGAGGTAACCCAGACTCAGAAAGACAAACATGGTATGTACTCACTCATAGGAGGATACTAGATGTGGAACAAGGATGACTAGACTGCTACTCACATTACCAGGGAGGCTACCTGGAAAACAGGACCCCAAGAAAGACACGGGGATCGCTCAATGACAGAGAAATGGATGCGATCTACATGAACAACATGGAAGTGAATGGGGGTAATGAAGGGCAAAAATCGAGAGAAAGAGAGCTTGGGGGAGCGGGAGATCCCAGCTGGATCAAGAACAGAGAGGGAGAACAAGGAATAGGAGACCATGGTAAATGAAGACCACATGAGAATAGGAAGAAGCAAAGTGCTAGAGAGGCCCACAGAAATCCACAAAGATACCCCCACAATAGACTCCTGGCAGTGGTTGAGAGACAGCCCGAACTGACCTACTTTGGTGATGGGATGGCCAAACACCCTAATTGTCGTGCTAGAAACCCCATCCAATGACTGAGGGATCTGGATGCAGAGATCCACGGCCAGGCCCTGGGTGGAGCTCAGGGAGTCCAATTGGCGAGAAAGAGGACGGTTTATATGAGCGAGAATTGTTGAGACCAAGGTTGGATAAAGCACAGGGACAAATAGCCAAACAAATGGAAACACATGAACTATGAACCAATGGCTGAGGGGCCCCCAACTGGATCAGGCCCTCTGAATGGGTGAGACAGTTGATTGGCTTGATCTGTTTGGGAGGCATCCAGGCAGTGGGACCAGGTCCTGTGCTCATTGCATGAGTTGGCTGTTTGAAATCTGGGGCTTATGCAGGGTTGCTTGGCTCGGCCTGGGAGGAGGGGACTGGACCTGCCTGGACTGAGTCTACCAGGTTGATCTCAGTCCTTGGGGGAGGCTTTGCCCTGGAGGAGGTGGGAATGGGGGGGGGGGGCTGGGGGGAAGGGGAGAGGGGCGGGAGGGGGGAGAACAAGGGAATCCGTGGCTGATATGTAGAACTGAGTTGTATTGTAAAATAAAATAAAAAAAAAATGCCTCAATCCATGTATGAATCCAATGCCAGTAGTTTAATATTTGTTTTTTAATCATCATCACATTCTTTTCCATAATCACTAATTACCCAAAGATGATTATCTGCAATCAACTAACAGAAGAAAAGCATCTACTGTTTTTTTGGACACAGTGTTGGGGTCATTGTTAGCTACAGATTTGAATATATCTTGCCTTCACCTTCCTTAGTGCCTTCAAATTTATCAATAACCTTCCCTTATAGACAGCATATGAAACCCACATATCCATGCCCAGATTAATGACTATTTATTACTGACTATAAAACTCTTAGCCTTTTCATAATACCATGATATCCCTCACTCAGAAAAAAATGCATTTATTTACACCACACAATATTAATAAGCTACGTCAATTTCAGAATATGATACCATATAAAGCCATATTAATTTAGGCTTTTGTCACATATGGTAAAATCTTATCAATTAAACATAATATGATCACTTACATAAAATGATATAAGTATGTATATGTATATATACCAATTCAAAGATATATATCAACTAATAGTAATGTATGAAATACATTAATAGATGTGGCACGTTAGTTTATGTTTTTACATATGATGTTAGAAGGAGCATGTAAATAGGTGTCATGTATATTTTATTAGTTTTTCAATTTTCATATTTGTTTATTTTTGTACATAGATAAAGTCATTTTTATAAGAAAATGTAATGTCACTTTAGTGGAATATGTGTGTAAGGGTGCATGCATACATTTTTGGGACTGTGAATGTATAATGAAGGCTAGGCTTATTAAATATTCCTATGAGATACATTTAAAGACATTGTTAGAATTACTGATTTCTCTTAAACCTTCCCATTTTACATTTCAAATCATAAACTGCCCTATGTCAACATTTCATGGAATATATTTCTTAATCCTATATTATTTTCATACAAAATGAACATTTTTATGTGAATCTTCTTAGCCAAATTGTAATTTATTCAATAATTGATCTTTAATATATTCAGTTTAAAGTAGTGTGGTGAATCCAAATGCCCTATGGATGACTGAAATCATATTGAATTTAAGCAGTATATTTACAAAATTTTTCAAAATTTCAATTGCAGTTTGGATATAATTACAAGCACTCGTTTATAGCTCTCGAGGACCAAGCCTAACTGCAATAGAAAACTGAACATAAAACCTTGTTAGTGTAGATGCTACCAGTATCATGCAAAGTTTGTTTCTGTATCAGTGAGATGGCAGACTCAGCAGGCAATGCTCCTCTCACCACCCTACACAAACTAAGTTAGAAGCTTCAGGACTGATTAGAGTCATATCAGCCTTTTTTTTTTTCAGCTGTGTTTACCCTTTTTGGTTGAGGCAGCAGCAATCTCTTCTTTGGATCGTTCAGCTTCTGCAAATTCAGTTATTCAAAGAATAAGCAATGGATATCAGAGTTTTCAGAATAATAACATATAGTACTATAGCCAGGCAAGAACACAGACAACCAAAACATAAAATGCGTATAGTGTCTGAGGGAGAGAAAAACAAGCTGCAGAGAAGCTGAGCTATAAAACACTGTTTCTCATTTTTGCTTTCTGATAAATTAACCCTATGTAAACTCTCTTCCAAGGCATAACTCAGTGATATCTCAATTGTATTCTTAGTTAAGTAGTGTTGATAGAAAGTGGCTTATTCCACAAAAAGAGATGTTAAAGTATTCGTATAGAAATCACTTTGAGTGATATATGAATGTAAGGAAAGAATATGTAAAGCCCTTTGTTCACTAATTATGTAGATGGTGAAGAATATTTGAGCGGGAAAGCTGATAGTGTAAGCACTGTTAAATATTAGTGATGACTTAATAGATATTCAACTCAGTTGTTGATTCAAGAAATGAGAACTATTTCAAAGACAAAAATTTTGCTATGGTGGAGTTATCTGAACATCTGGTAAGGAAAATGAGGAAGGTGAAATAAAGATATAATATGGAATGCTATTCCTAGAATAAGGTATTCCATTTTAAAGCAAAAATAGACAAAACTTTCTACAATTTGCAGGGTTGGGGAGGGAAATAACGATGTGATAATAAATCTTTGTAATGCTTCCCTTCTCATTTTACAAACTTAACATTATTTGAAGTAGTTCATTATTATAATATTTTTATACTTTTAGTCTTATTAACATTTGTATATTACTACCACTTGTTACAGTGTCTAGTGGCAAAGATCTTAATTTTGCTATTATAAAATACATTGATCTTAAATTTATGGTTTAGCTTTTTCATATAGAGTTTTAAAAGTCTTCCTGTGTTTCAAGAAAATGCCTAAATATTTTCCCATATGCACATGTAGCTTTAATTAACTTTTCTCATCTAGCTTATGGCACTCCCTCTAAAAGCCAAAGGCCACCTAACAGAAACCTAATGCCAGACATAAGAAGCCCTCTTTTGAATGGTTGGCCAGGGCTGTCTAAGATATTCCCAAAGTGTACAGCCTATTGCTCTTGTCATTGGCTACCACAAGGAGGTGGAAGGCAAATCCCTATTGCTGAAGAAAATATGCACTTCAGAAACAGGATCTAGAGGCCCTTGAGCTAGAACTGACCTGAATGCCCTATCATTGAAGTCTAGTTCCTATACCATACAAGCTTCCAAATAAGAGAAGTAAGTAATCAACAGTCCTACCCATCTATGATATCTACTAATCACATAAATGACTAGCATGGCATGACATCCTTTCAGGTGCAGTAGTAGCACACGTACTTTGGTGGTAATCAATGGATTAATTGGACTTAACTGGACTTAATACCCACTCAACAAAAGGGATACCATGCCTGGTACTGGAAACCCAGATAACTATTTTATGGAATCATGATTCCTGCAGGAGAATCTACAAACACTAATTTACTAAACCAGAATAAGATTATATTCCTTATTTTTTTTCAGAAATAGTTCAATGGTATTCAAATACATGATTAAATATCTTGGTGTGAATGCCTCCAAATACCCTTTCAATGATAAATACCTAAATTCAGAATTCTCTTAATCTTCAGTTCTGCATATTGGTTGTTCCAAGATAATTCTGGGGTGTGCATTAGTAGAAGATTGCTCTTTGCTCCACATATCAGGATACTGAAGTGAAATTAGATTCATCAACCTCTGCTTGTTGGGGGAACGTATAACAATATGTTCAGTGGTAAAATCAGAGGATGAAAAATGATTGGTTGTTCATATTTCAAATAAATTTATGTAGACAAATTTTTAGTTTTGTCTAGTCTAAGGTCAATTTCTTGTTCATAACTCAATTGAACAGAGGATAGTTTCAGATAATGTGAACTATGTGATCTAAGCCTTTGAATTACTCAATGTGGGAAGAATTAAATCTAGCAATGTTTCCAAAGACCTTCAAAGCACTGATGCTTTGTGTGACCATTCACAGTAAAACAGAGATGATGCAGTCACATTTTTAGTAACTAATGTGAACATAATGTCTTTTTGAAGATTTACCATGAATGGTATCACATATGTTACATAATCAGTACTCTCAAATCCCACCTGTTAACTAATTATATTGTCAATCTCAGAACTATTATATCCAATATTCAAGGTGGTATATACATTCAAGTAACTACGTGGATGAAGAAATGGGCATTTGGAGACATTTTTGACTTTCACCTGAATGGAGAAAAGAAACAATATCAACTTTCAGAAATTCTAAATATAGGTCTGAAATTTTTGCATCTCCAATACACTCTTCATCACCCTCACCTCATGACATTGTAGGTGCATTAAGATCACTTTGTTAGCAGTGCGTCATTGAAACTTGGAGAGTTTCTGTTTGTTTTCAAGATCATAGTACTCATGAAAACCTCCATTTCATACTGATAAGTGTTTCTCCTACAGTGATATTACTTATTCTTCAGGAGCTGGGTAGATGGTTCCTCCCTAAAACTTAATCTATTTTCCAGCTCCGAATCCAGTGTTAATGAAAAATAATTTTCCATTAGTTTTGCTTCTGTCAATCTCACCTTTCCTTTTAAACACAATGCCATCATATTGAATCACAAACATACCTGATTTGTGTTAATTTTCCTATATATCTAACAGTCTTACATACTCTTACAATTTAAAATAACGTACCACAGATACTCCAGCACTACCTACAAACTGCACAAGACAATACTGGCAAGTTAAAGACTTTTTTAAAGTATCCATAATTTATGTATCTTTCTCCTTAATATTAACATTATAGTTCTTGGTTGTCTATAGTAAATGTGTAAAATCTGTTGTTTTATGATTTCAATACCAAAAAGGCCAACTCCTATATAAATGTCTGATCATAATTTTATTAGATAATTTAAGTAATCAAGGGCTTACGAATCATTTTAAGTTAATTTTGTAGTGAAGAATAATATTCATGTCAAGCCCAATGGTCTCAGTCTCCTAAAGGGTTGGATACTCTTTTGAAACTTTCTATTGGGTTTACATGATTTGGCAAACTAGTTTACTAGTTTACCGCAAAAGATGCTTAGGTCTTTAAAATGTGATTGGACAGTACTGCACAGATGGACATAATTCCAGGTTTTATTCTTGTAGATGAATATTTTTAACTGTATATCACATTTCCTAGTGAGAAATGGTAATTTTCTGAGCAATTTTCAATCTAAAGTTTTCTATGAGTGATGCGAAATTATCGGTTTCACTTTGCACATTTTCTTGATTATGCATTCCCGTGGCTTAGCATACTGAACGGTCTATAATTCAAAGTTCCAGTTAGCCTTACATTCAACTTCAAACTCACTGTTTTGAATGAACATATAAACAGAATCATAGGTCATGGAAAACTTTTTTTATTTTTTTAAGATTGTGTGTGTGTGTGTGTGTGTGTGTGTGTGTGTGTGTGTGTGTGTGTGTCTTCATGGTTTGGGATGCTTAATGATGGCAGGAGAAGACACCGGATGCCCTGAAACTAGAGTTACAGGCAACCATGAACCAACATGGGTGTTGGGAACTGATCTCAAGAACTCAAATCTGGAAGAGCAGCAAGTGATCTTAGCTGCTGAGTCATCTCTCTAACCCTAAACTACTCTCTTTTTAACGTCTCTAATATTTGAATGTCTTTGTGAACAATTGAAATTGCAATGTCCTATTTTTTTTAAATTACATCAAGTTATGTAATCTGTTTCAACTATTCTGTGATATATTTGTCAATGATATACTGTTTCAAAAACCAAAACATTAAATAAAACATAGGACTCCTTTGTTTATCAGCACTAGGTTTAATATGAATGCACCTTTAACTCAAAACAAAAACATATATGCATTCTACAGTATATGTGCATATATTTTGCCATTAATTTTCTATATAAAGCATAAGGAAGTTAGTATTTTTTCTAAAAGCAAATGTCTGATATTTATTTATAACAGTACTGAAATAACTGTATTTCATCAAATTAAAAAAATAATAAGCAACAAATCAGCATTTCTCCCTAAGAATGTTATAAGATCTGCCACTGATGCATCTGTCATGAGAAGTTATCAGAAAATTTTCCTAATCTGAGGATATAAACACTAAGAAAAATGAACCTCTACAAAGGAAATTTTAATAAAACTTTAGGAAGGCTGTATTCCATTGAAAATTCAACTTTCATGATAGACAAATTACTTTGCTTAGTAGCTTGATCAAGTAACTAATCACTGGGATCCTTAAATAATTAATTAGAAAATGCTTAAGAAAATGTAACTGTTGCTAATTCTATGGGATGCAGAAAACATATGTGACTGAATACAGAAATTATGATCTAAATAACTGAAAATTCACAAAGTAATTCTTCCTGGACAAATTTTCACAAAAACAAACACCTTAAAAAGCGAAATGAGTTATCTTGCATATTAGTTCACCATAAAAATTATTCATATAGAAACATGGACAAGTGGGACTCACAAAGTCAGTATTAACAAGGTCGACAGAAGAAAATACAAGTGCGTAAGCTGCTAAAATATGCTCCTCTTATCAATATTTGTTCAACGTACTTATTTTCCCGTGTTTTTCACTTGGAGCTGTAATGACAAGAGAAAATCAATGCTTCAATAATTAGCGGTCTACTTTTATTGAAAATAACTGAGGTTTAGTCATTTGGAAGATTGCAAGTATAGCATTGGAAACTGAGGAAAATAGATCTGAAGAGAAAACGTAGCTTTGCAATTTTTTTTTTCTTTTGCTCCACTCTAAAGTGAATTTCAAAGCCCAAAAATTTGGGAGGCAATACCAGGTAAGATCACGCATTCTTCAGCACTTATTCATATTCTTGTGACTCCACTTTCAAAAATTATCAAAGGGCCTGATTGCTTCCATGTTTAGGCAAATGTATTTTCCCAAGTCTGTAAGATTTCCCCCCAAAGCATAATTTTTTTAAACAAATTATCCAGTAATTCCACTTTATTTATTTATTTATTTATTTATTTATTTATTTATTTATTTATTTATTTATTTAATTTATTTATTATTTATTTATTCATTTATTCATTCATTTATTTATTTATTTATTTATTTATTTATTTATTTATTTATTTATTTAATCTTCCCTCCTCTCCTCCCATTCCTTCCCCCCCTTCTACTCATCTCCCTCTCTCAATTCACTCCTCCATTCTTTCTGTTTAGAAAGCAGTAGGCTTCACATGTGTATCAACAAAGCATGGCATACAAAGTTGCAGTAAGACTAAGCACCTCCCTTGTATTAAGGCTAGGAAAGGCAATCAAGTATGAGGGATAGGTTCCCAACATTAGGGACAGCCTCTGCTCCCATTGTTAGGAGTCCCACAAGTAGACCAAGCTATACAACTCTTCCATATATGTAGAAGGCCTAGGTTGGTCCCATGCAGACTCCCTGGTTGTTGGTTCAGATTCTGTGAGCCAGGTTTGTTGTTTCTATGGGTTTTCTTGTATATCCTTATCCCCTCTGGCTCCTACAATTCTTCCTCCCTCTCTTCAGCAGGATTCCCCAAGCTTGGGCTAATGTTTGGCTTTGGGGTCTCTGTATTTATTTCCATCAGTTAATGGATGAAGGCTCTCTGATAGAGTCCTCACCAATCTGATAACAGGAGAGGGCTAGTTCAGGCTATATATCCACTGTTGTTAGGAGTCTTAGCTGGGGTCATCTTTGTAGATTCATTAGGCATCTCCCACTTTCTTAAAAAAAAATATGTCTAAGTAGCCAGGCATGGTGGTGCACGACTTTAATCCCAGGACTTGGGAGGCAAAAGCAGGAGCATCTCTGTGAGTCTGAGGCCGGCCTCGTATACATAGTGAAATCCAGGACAGACAGACTTATATAGAAAGAACTTGTCTCTAAAATCAAAGCAAAACAAAATGAAAATGCCTGAGTATTAGTAAGTTGCTGCACTGTATTCACACTTTGAGATGTACATACACTGATTACAAACAATTAGACTATTGTAGTTAGTGATAATACATGGCAGTAAAACTGATCCATCAAAATTGATCATATCAATACTTGTGAATACTTCTGTATGTCTTCCATAACTTATACTCTATTGTAGCTTTCCACATATGTACATAAATATGAGTGTTGTTATCTTGCTGTGGAAACATACTCCTGAATAAATAGGCCCCACTCTATAACGTAGATAAAACATCCCTTTTCTGAGTTGTAGTAGCTTGACTGTTAATGTGAAATAATGAAATATGTTATTATTTTATCTCTTAAATTATGTGATTGAAAATTACTCAGTCTTTATACTTTATAACCAATTATTATTCTATTTCATGTTCTTCTCTTCAACTAATAAACTCTTGTCAAGTGCCCATTGTGTATCTGGAATCAAAACAGGCATTTTTGAGAATAAAGAGCTAAATGCCCTCTGTATTCTCTAACTTCTGATGATTTAAAGCCCCCAAAAGAAAAGGGAATTATACCAGCATATTAAAATCTATGATAACAGAAAGAAAATAATGCTATTGAAGTACTGAAAAGATGTCTAAGCAGATTTTGTTCATACAAGAGGTATGACAAAGTTGGTCAAAAAATGAGAAATGTAGGTTCAAATAGCTATTGCAAAGAGTTATCAATATACTCTACATTAGCTGTATTCACTTGGCTACTGACATAATAGTAAATGAATGTTGTTTCATTTTAAATACAATTTAATGTGTTAGGAGCAGCTGAGAGACAATAATTGAGGTGATGTTTGACTGCACACATGCACACCCCCTGCACATAAACATGTCTTCACAACTACACTCTCCATAGGTTACAGCCTGCACAAACATGTACATTCATATCTTGTACACACACACACACACACACACACACACACACACACACACACACACACACGGGGGGGGGGGAGAAAGAGGGAGAGAGGGAGGGAGACAGAGAGAGAGAGAGAGAGAGAGAGAGAGAGAGAGAGAGAGAGAGAGAAGGATTGTGCAAAAGCCTCAGTTATGTTATTTGAATAGTGTTCACAAAGACAAAGCTATATGTAGTGTTTAAGGCAAGATCAAATAAAAGTATTTCAGAAACGTCTTGCCAGAACTGGTTAAATTTTAGAACAATTTAAGGAAATGATTTTGTGTGCACATTAACTGTACTTTTAGTCTCAGTTGTTTTATTTGTCTGGTTGATTGGTTTTAATTTCAATTTTCAAATCTTAGAATGTTGCTCTATTGAGAGAAACACCCCAGAGAAGCCAAAAAATGTTAAGTAACATTATGAATAGGGAGAGAGTATTTTCTGGAGTTGAAAATTGTGTGTTTCAAAAGTAAAATAATGTGAGGCACATTCACAGAAACGTTTTATTTTTATTTTATCTTGTTTGCTTTAATCAAAACTATATCTATAAAATAGTGCTTGTGATGGACATCGCGGATCATCAGCTTCCCAGACTCTCTAGAACCAGTGAAGAGATGAGGCTCTGGGCATGTGTGAGAGATTATCTAAACCAGATGAGTTGAAGAGGGAAAACCCACGCTAGCTGTGGGCATGAGTGAGCTGTGGTCCTGGGCTGAACAAAGGAGAAAGCAAGCGAGACTCAGCAGTCATTACTCTTTCCATATGATCCATATGATGCAACGTACTGCATTGAGCTCCTTTGTGTCCATGGACTCTAGCCTTGAACTGTGAGATAAATAAATAAATCCTCCCCCATAAATTGCTCTTGTCTGGGTGTCTTTCCAGCAATACTGATTCTCAGACATTGTCTAAATGTGTGCAAGGGGATCTTACCAAGATGTATTCTGACTTAGTCGATCTGAGGTGAGGCCAGACTCTGGTACTGCCAACCTTTCAGAGGATCTGATACTGCTACCTCATAGACACATGTTGAGCAACAAGGGAACAGCATAGGATTCACTTTCCCTCCTCTCAAACTGTATTGATATTGATTCTGTCAAGAGCTTAGAAAACAGACAGTGAGATGGACAGATTTCCTGCCTCCACCTGGCATTGCCTTTACAGCCCTGTCTCAGGCTTTGCCTTCCGGTAAAATGAATCGAGCCACACCAATCTCACTCACCCGGATGTTCCTTTTTTGGTGACTTTGCTGTGTGAAACAAGAAAAGAATGGGGAAAATCAGGAATCTGTGATAATCCATTAAAATTCAGTATTCAAGTACCAATGAAATAATTTTTAAAAAATAGGAAAAATTAAAATAATTACCTGGTTCTATGGGCTTTTCTTTCTTTTCCTGTTCTAAAACATACTATCATTGCTAATATTATTATACTTTAAAGTGTTCTAAATAAGATTTTTAATGTAAACAAACATGCATTGCTGATGCTAGACCACAGAACCTTACAAATGTCACAAAAGGATTGCTATCTCGCCCTCAGGATAGCACTTTCTCCCTTGTTCATTGAGCATGTTCTCCTAGCACAGCAATGAAATATTCTGAGTATTAAAGATTTTTTTTCTGAAGTAGAAATGAGAAAAAAAAAATACAGATTCCTTAAGGATGGAAAACATTAAGCTTGCTCTTATTATATAATGACATGAATTAAAGCTTGGATACAAAGTAAGGGCCAAGTCATAATTATTACGGTTGATTTAAAATAAGTTACAGAAAGTTGAGTCTGGGTGCATCTTATATGCCCTTCCTCTGCCACGTATTTTCTTAGACATGTATTTGTGACATTAAGGACTTTGATGAGAAGATTGAAGCACTAAGATAAAGTAAGAGGGCTGATGGGAGCAAACACACTTGTCTGTTTGCTGGACACCTGCTATACTAGCATTCTCTTTGTGCGGCACTTCCTTCAGACCCCCTTACCCACACTGTATGAGGAACAGACGTGCTTCTACCTTTAAGGTAGCACTGACCTGTTAATGAGGACTATTTTTTCTGGGAAGCGCAGGCAATAATCTGACAGGAAATGCTATTGTTTATGTTCCTATTCTTATTTTGACTTGACAACTTGTCAGTTTAATGAAAAGAAGATCCTCGATTGATGATAACATATAGGCCAAGTGAAGGAGAGCAAGACAGAGATTCCTCAACATTTTATCTAATGAATACAATCCAAAGATAGGGATATGTTTACACTCAAATAATTCAATAAGCCAAATTTTAGGACAAAACTGTGTCACAGAATATTCTCTGGCCAATGCATCAAAGGATCCATGTGCAATTTCTTTTTCAGCAAGCCAGTACTGATGTACATGGTCTAGGCAACTTATTCTACTCTGGCATGGTTGCTAGCAGTAAATAAAACAAATAGTTTGATCAAGTGTTGAAAGCAAAAATAAAGTGTGGCTTAGCTAGAACTAAACCTACTGAATACATTCCTAAAAGTCCAAATGACAACTAACTGGGCATGATGTTTATTTTTACTTTCTTTCAACATATGTTCATTTTAATTTTATGTACTCGAGTGCTTTGTCAATATGTGTGAATGCATACTGTGTGTGTCATGTGCCAAAAGGGACATCAGATCCTCTGGAACTGGAGGTTTAGGTAGTTGAAAGTCACCGTGTGGGTGGTGGGAACCAAACCTTGGTCCTCTGAAAAAGCAGCAAGTGTTCTTAATCAATAAGCCATCTGTCCAGCTCCTGGGCATATTGTTTAACTAGCAGCTGAATAATTAATTGAAATATTTAAAGATATTTATATTTATAAAGTGATAACAGCGAAACAATTACTGGAAGTCATTTTCTGCATTTGTTAAAATCAAACACTGGCTATGTATGATATCCAAAGACAAAATAAAAACTCTCCCTTCTTACATATACAAACATACATACATACACACATACAGATAAGTACTTGTCTCGACTTTTAATGCTACATAAGAAAACACATTCATAAGTGTGTATTATATGGTGTATTTCAGGATGTAATTATCTAACCACCTTAAAATATAAATCAGTTTACCTCTAAGTTCTAAAGGGACTGACAAACCCTGACTCTGATTGACTGTGGTGGTACATTGTGTACCCCAATAAAGTTTGCCTGAAGATCAGAGGACAGAGCCAGCCACTAGATTAGACATAGGCCAGGCAGTGGTGGCACACACCTTTAATCCCAGTACTGAGAAGCACACACGCCTTTAATCCCAGGAAGTGACATCAGGACGGAGAAAGGTATGTAAGGCATGAGGAATCAGGAACTAAAACAGTTCAGCTGAGACCCTTTCAGGTGAGGACTCAGAGGCTTTCAGTCTGAGGATTTATGGAGTTGATGAGTTAATAGGTTGTGGCTGTGGCTTGCTCTGCTTCTCTGATCTTTCAGCTTTCATCCCAATTTCTGGCACTGTGGTTTTTTTTTTTTAAATTAAAAGACCATCTAAGATTCAAACAACAGTTGACTCTTTGGGATATTTGAATTTTAGTTTTATTATGCATTTTTACACTAAAAATATCAAGACTATAGGATTTTATAAAATGTTAATATACTCCTTGTCCTGTTTTTCTCATCATAGTTTAATTTTAGCCTATAAGGAGAAAAATCTTTTAAGTTATGATAACTAGATTAATTTGAAACTGAATATGAGATTAAAGTGTATGGTTGAGTACAGCTAACTTAAATATAAAAATTCAGATCAAGCAAATTAAAAGACTCAATAATATTAATAAAGAGAAAGTCTACTCCACAAAGCAGAGACAGCAGGTTAATTTGAATGTGATTAATAGTTGTTTTTAAGGACATAATTTCTTCTCCAACTACTACCCAAGTCACAATCTACAGTCCTTCTCATGAGTTGGGTTGTAAGTGAACATCTGAGAAGGAATGTTTATTCACTAAATACATCAGTGCCCTGAAGATTGCCAAGGAGATGCAGTATGTCTGCAGAAACTTTTAAATCACATAAAGGCCATGTATAAATAAATAGATCAAAATAATATATATGTATATATTTGGACTTTTCAAAAGTATGTTGAATGATTTATTATGAATGATACTTAAGAGCTGGATCCCTAACAATTTTATTCCAATGACTTAATAATTTTTGTAGGGAGATGGAATATGAACATGCCAAAAATATTTGTAGATTACAAGAAGAAAGATAATAAGGAATACCTGGAAAACAACAGCTACTGAGTGTTTTCTAAGAATGAGCACTGACTAGATGACAATATTAAATATATCATATATATGTGTATATAATTTAGTAGCATTTTCAAATTTCAGATTGCTTCCATGTTCATGCAGGTGCAATGGTTTATGGTGTGTTTTCTGCATCCTTGGGCCAGATTTCATGGCAGCTGTATCCACTCATCAATCTAGGCCTGAAGGAACATATACTTCTCTACAGATATATCCCCCGCCCCCGCCCGGTTGGTTTGTAGCATAATTTCATGTTTCTTTCCACAGGACGTTTAGAGCAGTTTTTATGACAGAAGGTTTCAGTCTCCTAACTTTGGGTACAACCAAAACATGCACCATTTTTTTAAGTTGATGTATATTTTAAAGCAGAAATGCCAATGGAATTGTATCTCTACATTCCTAGAAGTGTGTTCATTTTAATGGCTGAGTCATGTTAAATTTCCCCTTAGTTTATAATTGTTAAGCATATCTTACTTTTGCAAAACACAAACCTAGAGGCATATCACTTTACTGAACTGCTGGCAAGCGATCTCAACAGTGTGTTGAATAATTCTGGATGAACCTTAAGAAATGGATCCCTAGCAATTTTATTACAAAGATCTTATAATGTTTGCAGATAGATGGAATGTGAGCATGCCAAGGTATTTGTAGATTACCAGAGGATAATAGGGAAGAGTCTTGAAAATGACACCCACTGAGTGTTTTCTAAGAATGGAAGGGGAACTAGATGACAACACTAAACTTACACAAATATATTAATTATATCGTGGGCATCACCGGAATGCACTTATAGTAGAAAATTACAGGTTCATTAGCTATCTACATGAGTGAGAATGCTTGCTATAGTTTCCGTGCTACTCTGACCTCCAGTTTACATATACTCAAGTGTGCCAAAAAAACAGGAAATAATATAAAACCCTAAAATAAACAAATCAAAATAAAAATAGATGCACATGCACTAAACACAGAAATCTGAAATATGAATACACCGGCGCCAGCAGGCTGGTTATATAGCAGCAGCGGCAGCACGTTTGCGCAAACAGACTTTGCATGCATTTCCTTACTTTTCCCCTTGGGTTGTTCTGTTGAAAGGAAAAGAAGCAGAGGACCATGGCTCTTAAGATTTTGAGATACATTTACCACAAAAACAATGGCTAGAGTGCAGTTTCCCCAACCTTCCTCCCGTTACTTTTCCTTTTGAATTTCACAGTGAGTTTTGCTTTCAGATATCACTAATTACCCCAGGTAGGTCCATAACTTAATTGACAGAAACATCATTCAACAATGAAGTGGTCGAGAATTATCCTGCTTAACAATCTGAGCTATTTATGCCTGGTAGTCTTTGAACACATGTGAGTAAATATTTTATATATACAAAATTTCAGAAGGCAGAGGTTGCATTTGCCAAGTGGGTCATGATTGCAGTCAAGAGAAAGAAGGTATGTTTCAATTCATAACAGATGTTACTAGGTTGAAAAGATATTGAATTAACTAAGTTTGTGTATCTGATATGTAACATTATTCAGTATCATAAAATAATCATATCTTTGAAAAAGTTCATGATAGGTAAATATAAGGAATAATAATAATAATTATTATTATTATTAATTATTGATGTTTTGTGTTTTCTAGAGATTGAGCATGGAGACTTTCACATGGTAGACAAATGTGTTGTCCCTAAGCTACAGCTCTAGACCCTTTATTTTTATCACAGTCAAATACTTGTAGTGGCAATATTGTCAAAGATCTCTCTCTTACTTACTCCCATGCACAAGCTCTCTTCCTTTCCCCCTTTTTCTATTCCGTATACAGATTTTTCTTCAAGGTGCATCTTTTAGGGGTAAAATGCTGTTGAAGGGCTCATTAAGTACTAAGTAGGAGCCCCTCACACACACCCAAATCAGAAAGTATTTAAAGTATTTCTTGTACCTTCTGGAGTTTTTTTCGTTTTCTTGGAATCTGAAAATGCAAAGATAAATTATTGGTACTGTAGAGATGATTAAATTAACAGCTGACTGGTTAAAAACAAAATTTTCATAACCTCAAAAATATTTTTAGTATTATTTTTTAAAAATTTTTAAATAACAGTTTTTACATTTATTTTACATACACAGTTTCCCCTCTTTCCTCTCCTCCCATTCCCTCCCTCCTGTTTCCAATCTTCCCCCTTCCCCTTCCATTCAGAAAAGGGCAGGCCTCCCATGGACTTGAACAAAGCATGACACATCAAATTCAGGCGGAATTCAGCTCCTCCCCACTGCATAAAGGCTGGGCAAGGTAATCCAGCAAGGGGGAACAGGTTCCCCAAAGCCAGCTAAGCACCAGGGACAGGTCCTGATCCAGGGACAGGTCCTGATCTCACTGCTAGGAACCTTGCACAGAGACCAAGCTACACAACTGTCATATACATGCAGAGGGCCTAGCTCGGTCCCATGTAGACTCCCTAACTGTTGGTCCAGAGTCTATGAGCTCCCATGAGCTCAGATCAGCTGTCTCTGTGGGTTCCTCTACCATGAACCCCTTATCATGGCTCTGAGATGAGCTCTGGGAGTCTTGCGGAGGAAGAGGAGGAGGGATATGAAGTGAGAGGATCAAACTTCTTACAGAAAGGAGAAATCACCCGAAGCCTTAAAACAATTGCATTTTGGTAGGAGGAAAAGGAACAGTAAGCTCTGTTCAGATGACACACTACTAAAGTCATGCATGACAGAGGATTTTATATGTAATATCGAGAGCAGCTTTGCATCAAGTACAGGAAGGCAGAGCATGAGTATGTAGGGTGACACCCTCACCATGGTGCCCTAGTAACCTTGTATAACTAGCCATGCATGCTAAGGTGCCTACTGCACTGAACTGAATCTTAGCAGGATGCCTAATAGTCCTCTTGAAACATAGCCTCATGGAAGGCTAGTGAGGAGCTGATGGGACCAATACCCCGATGTCCCTTCATCTCTCCCACGTGACTGTGAAGACATTTTCTCACCCCCACCTCAGTCTCATAGCCATGGATCCTAGGAAGAGAGCATTAGCTCACAAAACATATTGCCATAGGGTGGAATTGGCTTCTATGGAAGTGATGCAGAAGTGTTTTCTGACATTAATACCTCACCTCAATTTGGTGTGGGAGAAGGCCACTGTGAGGCAGGTACCCCCAGCTAGTTTTAATTTTTATATCTATGGAAGTCATATATTGTCTCAGTCTCAAAGGACTTCCCATGCCTGACCCCTGGAATTATTCCGTCTTTGTGTTGGGTTTGGGTTAGCCACATGGTTGTATGCCTGACAGCAAGTATGGACAACATTTGTGAAAGTGAGCTTAAGGACTTTAATTTCAGGTTAGAATGGGTAGCGTACATTCTGCAGTCATGGTAGAGTCATTCAGTATTTCAGACAGCTAATGATTTAAACTTTTTAATTAATGCATTTTAATATTTTAGAATAAATAAGTATTATAGGCTATTGGGGACTAAGGGGGTCCAGCCCCTCGATAGTCCCCTCCCAGGGTCCGGGAAGAATCTACAACCAGCTGATAATTAATCTTTGATGAGAAGAAATGAATCTATGTACACGAAACTCCTTAGTCCATATACTTTATTATTCTGCGTCAGTTACAAGCTTATATTCTACTCTCATATTTAGGTCTTTTTTTGCCTGATTTCTCTTTACACTTGTCCGCGGTCCCCTCTGGGTTCTATCTTAATTCCTTCATCTTGTTCTGCCCCTTCTAGGTTCTCATCCATCTTGTTCCTTCCCATATCATCTTTTCTCCCACCTCCTTCTCTCTCCTCATCTCGTTCTTCCCCATCTTGTTGTTCCCCAACTGGCTCATCCTCATCTTCCATCTCATTCCTCTAGTACTCTCTTCTAGCCTTCAATCTAGTTCTTCCCCATCTCAGTTTGTTCCTCTCAAGTTCTTACCCGTCTAGTTCTTCCATTCTCTTTTCTCTTCTCTGATCCTCCGTGCCCTGGAAGTCCTGGTATATACAACCAGGCTTCCAGGGTCAAATGGAAGGGTGATAAGAATCACATAGGGAGGCAATAACCGTAATTATCATTTGCAACCCCAAAGGGAAGTGACCATTGGGGAAATGAATTAACTAAAGGCTGAATTCAGGTAATATCTAAGAAGAGGGCTCTTATGTGCTCAACTATAATCTTAAACGTGATTGGTAGAAAATGTTAAGAATCTGTAAGTTGCTAGGTCAATGGGAGAAAGTAAAACTGTCTTCTTTTTTATCTGTCCAAGCTATCTGCCGTTTTTCTGCAGGGTGGGGGAAAGTGTGCTCAGTCGCTAGGCAACCTGTGTACAGCTGGATACCTCTGGTGATAGTTAAAGGGAGATCTGGAACTGGAGGTAAGGTTTGGGAAAGGAGGAAGTAACGCTTAATTGGCACATCCGCCAGGCCTTCTCAAACAGGTAGCCTGGATGGTTAAGTCTGTTCTTAGAGAATACAGAGGTATTTCTGATAAAGTACTCTCCTCCATCTGGGGATGGACCTGGCCGGATGCTGCTAATGATGATAATTACAGGGAGGCTTGAACTGGGGTTCTGGCTGAGCATAGCTGTCAGTGCAGGAGGTTATCTAAATATTCCTAGAAGTGGTTAGGTAAGGAGTTAGCGGTCTATAAAGTTAGTAAGGCTGTAAGAAAGAGGGGTCCGAGCTGAATTGTGTAAAGCTATTACTTAACGTCCACCTGACCTAGGTGGTTTCTCCTTGTGGAATTTACCAGGAGACTTGCGTGTGGACTGTTATTACTGCTAGTCCTTGAAAGTGGCCAAGGGAGATATCTGATTCCAGAGAAAGCCTTTCCTGAGGCTGTTCTCCAAATACCTGGAATATGTATGTCCAGAGAGTGATCAGTCCACACTGTTAGCCCTTCTTAGGGAAAAATCAATTGGGAAAACTATGAAGGCACACATGATTTTCATAACAGAAGACAGCTGATATATAACAAGCCAAGTAACACCCAAAACTCCTTGGGATTTGGCTTCCTCTGGAGGAATTCCTTGATTCCTCCAGGTAGTGACTTTGCCATAACCAGCTGAGTTCTTATGATATATTCCTGCGGCCCGCAGCAATAGGCAGGGTATTTATTTCTTTTACAGTCTCAAACATTTTCATTTCCGGGATCCTTTAAATGCCTAACAATCATTAAGGACCACAGACAGCTTCTATTTATGTTTTAATTGAAGTTCATAACTTTAAAAAGTAAGCTGAGAACATTTCAAACATACTTATGAATTATTTAAATAATAAGTCTGTTACAATGAACATTAATAACACACTTTATGGCGGCATATTTAATTCTTTTGACAAAAATAGTGAGATGAATGATGATACATTTTACGTTTCTGTGAATCTTGTTAACATCTGGCCTAATTAGATGACAGTTGGATTGGTATGTCTGCTCAGCCACTTAGTCTGTTTCAGTCACACATCTTTAGCTTCTGGGAAATTCCAGTAAACATTCGTGTGAGAAAGAAAAAGAAGAACATAAAATGCATTTATATTTTTAGTACGATGTTTTTGTGTTGAGGGACTAGAAAGGTCTCAGGGACTCTAAGGAGTCACTGAACACTATAAAAATGTCTGCTTCTTAGAAGTCATCACCCTGGTTGACCTGAGTAACTGGTGAGACCATTATGAGATCTCACTGGCCATGTAAGCAGCAACTACATTGCTGAAGACTGTACTCTAGATTACAGTTTTAATTTATTTAGGAAGAATGAAGTAAAAGACATGTCAATGAGACCGAAGTGTATGAAAGACTAAATGTCAGGGTCCAGTGGAAAATCGCAACATTGATTACCATATAGTAGAGTTTTGGAGTTCACTGGAAGAATGTTTTACTTTTTTTTAACAGTTGAATTTCCATGGGAAATTTTAAGTATCACATGGTGGATTTGGAGAATTTCTTAAGAAAAGTGATTTGAGGTATGTCAGCCAGGCAAAAACAAAACTAGAAAATGTCCTAGATGCATAGCAATGGGTGAGCAGTGATCACTCAGCTTTAATACATGAAATTATAATGTGACTATTGCTTCACCTGCCATGATTTTCTTAATATTTTGTTTTTAGTGCTAATGAATTAAATAGTAATTTCTAAATAAAAATCAACTTATCGTAATGAACTCACGGAAAATATCACAGTTAAATTTGTTTGTATGACTACCTCAAAAATAGTTATTAATGTTACTTCTTTACCCAAATTAAATGATAAATTGGATTTACTATTGAGGTCCTATAACAGGAAAAAAAAAACCCCAAACATTTCTGAGGCTTTACTCTGTATACAACTGTGCTGAGAACTTACTACCTCTTTGTTCTCATGGCATCTTTGACGACTTTCCAAAGTGTTTACAACCAAAGTGAACATGCATGGTATCACTTGAAGGAATAGTTGAAAAGATTTACTACATTTATATGGAGAATTAATACTGATTGAAATGTCATAACAAACACAGTGATGTGTCCAAGTGGTCTTTATCATAATGTTGTGGCTTCTTTCCCTCTAAAATAGTAAGCAAGGTTTTGTTTTGTTTTCTTTCCTTTTTCGTGTATTAACTCTTAGCTTTCTGTTTAACAGAAGCAAAAGTGAACTTCAAGATATTGTGATCAGGGAAAATTCTAATGAAATTAAGTATAAAATATAACCCTTGCTTTTTTCTGTCATTCTCTGATTAGGTGAATACTAATTAGATTATAGATGGCATTCTGCATGACTAGTGTTTTCTTTTATCTACATGCTATTTTTGTCATGAAAATGAGCCTAGATTAATTAGCAGTGGTGGTGCCTTTTGCAAATGTTGTGTGAGAGTGCATTATAAATATTTCTCAGAGGAGGATGATGGGAACTAGATCAGTCTGCTCTTCTACCATGCTTCCCTAACCATAACCAGATTTCATCATATCTATAGACATCTGCTCTCTCTCTGTACTCACTCTCTTTAGATATTTCACTTTAGAATTCTTGCCATTGTAAATACCTTCTCAATCTTTTTGACATATGAAGCCCCCTAAACACTCTGGACTATAATCATTATATTTTTTTAAAGACAGCACTCTTGGGAAAAGAAACCTGAGTCCAGAAAGTGGCCGTTATGAGATAAATGGCCTAATCTCACTGATCACCCACAGTTCAGTATCCTCTAGAAGTTTTAGCTGGTTCACCACAGCACACGCAATCTTCCAGTCTTGTGATTTCTGTGGAGTTATGTTCTCTACACATGTTATTAATATGCTTTACCCTGATTACAACAGTCTTGAATGAAACTTTGGCTTGAATAATCCATTCAGTGTAATTTTTTAACAAGGTATGTTTTACTCGATATTGTACCAATGTAAAACAGGGGTGGATATGATATACAAGGGATTGACTATAACTTATAGTCAGTTCAGAAGAAGGAAATTTAATCAGGGATGTTTTGTATGTTCAATATAAAAGGACTTAATATAGGACAATGAGTTCTGCATTTCACAAATATACAACTTTTTATCAAGTTTCCAACAGAGTCAGAGGACTAAGATTTGGACAGACTATGTTTTATTTTTGACTTGAGAAAAACCATACTAAAATTATTTTGAAAGGAGCTCATCCCTTGGTGAGCTGAAATAGAAAAAGCACATTCAGCAAAATGAGTGCACATAATAGGTCCAGTATCCTATAGGAATGTAGGCAGAAGAACAGTCAAATTCCGCTCTGAGCATTGGTAAATTGCTCTAGCAAATGGCACAGTGAGACTTTATAGAAAACATAAAAACCTACCTTCTTTCTTCTCATCTTTTTTAGCTGCTGCTGAAATAATAGAAAGAAAACATTGTTAAAACATTAACTGACCATTTCTTAGGATATACCACATAATATGAAAATACATCCCAGGTAGTCATAAATTTAGTGATCACCTATGAACTACTAAACCCAACAAAACAAAAGTGTATGGCTGTAACTATATAGAGAGCATATGTGTATATATATGTTCAATATAAAAGGAGTTAATATAGGACTTATATATATAAATAAAGTCAAATAAACAAGAAGATAAGCTTATCTTTATGTAAATTTATTTTTTCATTTAAGTTTTGTACTTTTTTTTATTTTTGTTTTTTTGAGACAGGGTTTCTCCATGTAGTTTTGGTGCCTGTCCTGGATCTCACTCTGTAGACCAGACTGTCCTTGAACTCACAGAGATCCACCTGGCTCTGCCTCCCGAGTGCTGGGATTAAAGGTGTGAGCCACCACTGCCCGACTAAGTTTTGTACATTGCTATATCTGATAAATTACAATTCCTCTTAGAAGGTCAAAAAACATAAACTATATCTGTATTCATCAAAAATGCAAATGATTCTCTACAAAAATATATACATTTAGCTTCTGAAGAATTGGATGTTGATGTCAAGTCTATTTTTCATTTGTAGTAAGAATATACCAAATATACCATTTGTGAATTCTTCACAGAAGAAAGTCTCTGAAATTTAAGTTTCTTCAAGAATTTGCAAACATATATACTTAGATCAAATTAATTCTTTCTAAAATAATCTAGAAACAAATTCTGTAGTTTTAATAATAAAAGCAAAAGTCACATAAGTAGACTTTCAGATAAAATTTAGCTTTGTGTCACACTTCGGGTTCATTTTTTCACTTGGTTCACTTCCAAATTGGCTGTCTACTCTATTGTCACTGTGTATAGACTTTATCCCTTCATGCATTACTTGAAAACATCATTTATTTCTCTGGTTCTGTGTATGGTTAATTATTTATCTGCTGTAGGAATGATCTATGGAAATTCTGCAATGCTGAGTGATTATTCCCATCATGCTGTTTCTTAGTGTGTCTTTGCCGTTTCTCTGAGCACACTCTTACAGTATCGGATGCTGCACTGTTCTCTGTGCTACATCAACACTGGCAACTGCCTTCCTAACAAGTGGATCTCCAATACAACGATGAGGCTCTAGGTTACCAATCGACAATAAATTCGACAATAATACGTTATTGAAATAATAATAATAATAATGATAATAATAATAACTCAACAATAATACTTTATTTGAAAGCCAAACTTTCAGATGTCACCTTGCCTAAAATGCTATTTAATGTAAAAACACTGAGCCTATAGTCTTGAGCTGAAATTTGAAGTGCATTTCCACATAATCTTTTCAACCTTCCTTTTCAACTCCATTAACATTAGGCTGAAGTAAATTTAATTTCTGATTCCAACTGTATTTCAACCATTGGATGGTCATCAGTATCCAGACAATATAGAAAGGCCTAAAATCCTTGTAATTTTACAAGAAAAATAACACACTTGAACACATGGACACACACACAAACACACATGTATAAACACAATAGAAACTCTTTTTACCAAAAGTTATTTGCCTGTGGAATTTTACCCTGATATATATTTTCATGTAGACTCACTCTGTTTTTCTGACAAATAATATTTATTATATTTCCTATCAAAACGTTCATAAAGAAGAAATAATTTTATTGAACTTGTAATCAGCAAGAAAACTTAAAAAGTGCCTCCATAGCCCTTAACCATGCTAGCATAAATTGGTCTTAAATAAGATTTTGGTCAGATGCAATATATTCAGTAGTATTTCATATCACACTGTATGCTAATGAGTTTGCTGTGAGGCCCCTCTATCCAGCAACAATCATACCACTGTCTAAATGCATCTCTTTTTATTGCTAAACTCTGCAGCACTGAATAATCTAGTGCAGGAGAGGAAATGGAGATCCTGTCCAATGAATATTTTCCCTATTGTTTTCTTAAACTGCTCTCTAAACTTTTCATAGGTGACAATGGCATAATACTTGTGTCTCTCTTTTGTGTCTTGTCAAATTACTGCTGATTTGAGAATTCACCACTTCTACTTCTTAAGCCCTAAGGGTATCAGTGAGAGAAGGAACTAATTTTCTTGCATGGTTCACGAAGTTGAGGTAATTATTTTTGTAGTATATCTGGAAGCCAGCATTTGCAATGTGAGCCTTTAGATAATAATATGGATTTTCTAACATTCCAACAGACTCTTCTAATATGAAACAAATCATAAAATGCAACCAATATAGCCAGCCTATTAGAAACTCTCATGGTAATAGTTAATCTGTGTATTTTTATGTATTTATTTGAAGTTTATTTTTAGAAATATGTATCAAGGCATCTTGAATGACGCTAGGAGGCAATGCACTGATTGTTATTCTTCAGGTATATAAATTCAGCATCATTCTCAATAAGACTTGCTGAAATGACTAAAGAAATACTTGCCTTAATGCCTAGGGTTCATGGTACCAGTAGATACTCTACAAGCCACCAAAGTAGAAATAACCTAGCTACAATCTACAATTGTATTTGGGTTTTTTGTTGTTGTTCATGTTTGCTTTGTTTTTGTTTTTGTTTTTTAATCTTTACTCTTTGGGGAGCTTGTCACCCAGCTCCCAAATAAATCACATGGACGCTTGTTCTCTTTTATAAACACTATGCCTTAGCTTGGCTTATTTTTAGCCAGCTTTTCTTAACTTAAATTAGTCTGTCTACCTTTTGCCTCTGTGCTTTTATATTTCTCTATTTAATAATATCTTTCTTTACTTCTTACTCTGTGGCTTGCTGTGTAGCTGGGTGGCTGGCCCCTGATGTCTTCCTCTTACTTCTCTTCCTCCTCTATCTTTGTTCTCTCTTTTTCTCCTTCTATTTATTGTCTCTGCCTGCCAGCCCCAACTATTTCTCTTTCCTGCCTCACTATTTGCCATTCAGTTCTTTATTAGTTCAATCAGGTATTTTAGACAGGCACAGTAACACAGCTTCACAGAGTTAAACAAACGCAACATAAAAGAAGGTAAAACATCTTTGCATCATTAAGCAAACTTTCCACAGCATACACAAATGTAACGCATCTTAAAATAATATTCTACAACGTACACTTGTGACCTGAATACAAGATTTTCTGGAGCAATGATGGCACAAATCTTGATAGAGTAACTAATCAATATTTGATTTGATTTAAGGCTAACCCATGAGATAGAACCCATCATCCTTGACACTACTTAGGTTGCCAAGAATCTGAGACTAGACAAACCAGGGATCTAGGAGAAAACTACATGATACTTTTTTGCTAAAGAACATGTCCACAAAATGACCCCTTACAGCATCTTGCCATAGTCATAGATCAGTGACTTGCTCAGCCCTCATTACAGATGCTTTCTCTTTCAGTAGATGGAAATAAATACAGAGACCCACAGCTGGACAATGTGCAGAGCAGGAGAGACCTTGGAACACTCAGTCATAAATGGGATGTGTCCAGTAACCCCACCACCACCCCACAAAACTCAGGGAACACTGCAGAAGAGGAGGTGAAAAACGTGACAGAGAGAGGAGATAGAGGACACCAAGGAAACAAGGCCAACACCAAGGAAACACAGTGAGATCAATGAACATATGAAGTACAGAGACTATGGCAGCATGCACAGAGCCTAGACAGGATTGGTCCTGATGGGCTCCTAGTGATGAGAGAGGAACTGGAGATAAGCCCCCATCCCTAACCCAGAAGCTATCTCCAATGTGTAACTACTCACAAATAAAAATTTAGTTTTCTGTAACAGAGTCTCAGGGAGTACACAAACCACACTTAGGGTCAGACCCTATTCCCAGCGGTAGATGGCCATCACAAAATAAATTCAGAGATATCTCTAGAAGTGCTTTTGTCCCACAATTCTTTGGCTATGCATTTTTTTTTCTTTTTTTCTTTTTTCTAACAGGTCTTCTGCTTATATATTATGGTTTCTGATTTTGTGTTGTTAGGGGATTTATATGTGTTCCAATGTGTATATCTCTATGTCTATATCTGTGGTGGTTGTACTTTTTAGGCGACTCTATTTTGCTGTTTGTTTGTTTTGTTCCATTTCGGTATACTTGTTTTATTTTATATATATTTTTTCTATTTCTTAGATGTCTGTTTGTTTCCTAAGGAAACAAAGTAAGAAAAGATGTGTATTTAGGTGGGTAGGGAGGTGGAGGAGGGTCTTGGGAGACTTGAAGAGGTGAAACCATAATCAGAATATAATGTATGAAAAAAATCTATTTTCATTTTTTTAAAAAACATGCAACAGTTTGTTTATTGCAGAAGAGCAACCAGCAGATGGCGCTCTTCTGCAATAAACTGCTTTTGCTTTGTCAATAAAATGCAATGGTCTGAAGAGAGGAAAAAGTATTTTTGAAAGTGCTGATTACCTACCTTGTGCTGTGACTTTTGCAGTTGTTTGTTTGGCTTCAGGAGATTTGCCTGGCTCTAAAAGGAAAACAAAGACAAAAGAGAGAGTTACCGCAAATAAATGATTCAGAACAATCTATAAAAGAATGAGAAAAATTTAAAAGAAATTTATTTTGAGAATTTAATTCTTGAATATTGTATTTACAATATTTCCACTCTGCCCTGTCCCTCACCAACTCCTCTTACACCAATCCCCTCTCAAATTCATGGCATTTTCAGATTTAACTATTATTGTTAGACACACACACATCCCAACTTTATTTAGTAATTTTGTTATTCCCACATGTGCAGGGATGACGACTTGGAATTGAAGATCTTATCCTGTGCCTTATCCCTGACTCTCCCTCTCTCAGCTTCCACTGAGTACATTGTCATGCATTGCTCTTCCAGGGAACTTGAGTTCTGTTCCCAGTACCTAAACAGAGCTCTAGTTCCCCAGTGATCTGTAGCCTCTGGGTTCTGAGGGCAATTACACTAAAATGCCCATGACCACACACAGACAGACATACACATACACACACACACACACACACACACACACACACACACACACACACACACACACTAAAAATAATAAAAATTTATCTTTGAAACCAAACAAATTGAATATGAAGTTGGGAGGGAGCAATGTTGTCTTGGAGGCCCACACTAGAGCTGAAGTTAGGTTGCAGGGACAAATATAATTGACATATATTGTAAACACATATAAAAATTTTCAAGAATAAATAAAAATACTATTAACAAGAAACAATTCCACATCAGAATACTTTGACAAAGAAGAATAAGCTTGGTTATGTGCACGGCTCAGTAGCTCAAAGTGCTTGCCTGCAATGCATGGGGACCTAAATTTGATCCTGAAATTACACAGACAATAGCTGGGCATGTTGGTAAGCACTTCTAACTATAACACTAAGGGGACACACACAAGTGTAACACTGAAAGATACAGTCAGATCCATGGAGCTTACCGTCCAGCAAGTCTAGTCTTCATGGCACATTCCAAGACAATCAGAGAACTTGTTTTAAAAGTAACTGGTGAACTGTGTTGCTATGAATTGACACTTGAAATGTCCTCCACACACAGGTACACACAAATGCATATACACATATGAACACACATGTACATATACAAATACTCTTCTTCCTTCCTCTCTCTCTCACCATATATATCCCCCACAACAAAATCGTAATCATAATCATAATATTTACATGTCCTGTGACAAACAAAAATATTTTGTCTTTTCTTGTAGAGATAATTTTTCATTTTGTCATAACCACCATAACAAAAGTACTAATTCTTCAGTTATTTATATGAAAGGAGTACCTATAGTTTTAGCTATGATTATTATTTATTATTATTATAGTTCTTTATTCAAAATCTGGCTTCTGACTGCTCAGGACTCACTTGAATGACCTCTCCCTCTGCAAGGTCAGTTATACGTGGATGAGCATATTTTAGGACTCATTTTCCATCGGCTCCTCTTTCTGCTCTGCTCCGGTTTCCTCTCTGAGATTTGCCTGCATCTGTCCCTTCACCCGAAAAGCACATTGGTTTATTAATGCACACTGATTTATTGCTAATACCGTTACTGGATGAAAGTTCATTTATTTTTGTATTTAATTATTTTACTTCATGCATATGAGTGTTTTGCATGCATGTAGCTATGTGTACTACATGAATGCCTGATGCTCTCTGAGGCCAGAAGAGGGTGTTCAGTCCCTTGGAATTGGAATTACATATAGATGTGAGTTATCACGTGGATGCTAGAATCTGACTGGGCTCTCTGTGTGAACATCAAGTGCTTTTAAAAGTTTGGTGAGCCATCATTATAGCCCCCAAAATTCATTTCTAAAGGGATAGTCTGTAATGTCTACCTGTAAAAGGGCAATTTCAACTGAGGCAAATCTCAGGGTCATAACAGTAGCTTGAATTTCTCATAATTCTATGTAGTCCTTCTCTGAGCTCAAGCTCTTGAGTTAATGTGTGCTAAATCACAGCCTCTTACATGAACTGCATGTCAGGAAAAGCTAATAGCATAAAACCAAACGCCTTTTCAACAACTCTGCCAATGTGCGTCCACTCAGCAACAGCAGCAGCCTCAGAGCTATAGAGGACACATGCTGAGATGATCAGCTCTGACATCTGCTTGGACACAGCACTCCTGTTCTCAAGAGAACTGTTTTCATGTTTAAAGAGGAGACTCAACCCTGAGACCATGAATATACAGCAGAAGAACACCACACCAAAACTTACACAAGTAAACGCACATTAAATCCAGGCAGATTTCCAACAAAGGTACGTGCTCTGCCTCCTTTTTGATTTCTGCCAAAGAAAAGAAACTAACACTATACTAAAGAGAATTCCAAACAAATGTAGAAATAACAAAATTAATATAATGAGATACATATTCCTGACAATCACTGAAAAGTTCCCAAGTGGTAGCAAGTATTTTCCTCTGTATTACCCCAATCAATGTAACCCAATGAAAAATTTCCAATTAATTTTCTACCTTGTTATTAGCCTTTATTTGATAATTTTATATGCATATCTTTGCATCAAAGGATATAATTTTAAATAAAAATGAATGATCAGAATGTCATTCAAATATTGTAATAGTCCTGGAATTGATAATTAATATTTACACCATAAAATTATGACCTGGTATGTATAGCCCCTGTATTTAATCTATCCAGTACCATAAAACAATGGGAGGGGTTAAAATTTGAATTGTAACAAAAGTATTGTCCCATATTAAAATGTCAACATAATTCCTTTACTGTGCTTTAATAGGAAATTATCAAACAAGTCACTATTCTAAATATCCCAAAACATACTAAGACAAATAAATTGTCATGAATTGCTTAAGCCAAATATTTCAACCTCTTGAATCTGTAGCCATGGAAAAGCTTGATTTAACAGAATTTTTTAAAAAAATTAAGACACTATGAATTTAATTAAAGAAACACTTTTTGCTACCGATTGAAATACTAGTTTACTGTCACAAGCTTTTCATTTATGGGTCCCCATTTGTATTTTGACTTCAATTAGTGTTAGATATAAATTTCAGATAATTGCAAGCAGCACACAAGTTTCTACAATAGAACCCTCAGTGTGTGCCTCTGGCTATTGGACAATAGGATTATTTGAGAAACATGTTTGCATCTGAAAATTTGTTTCAAGGTTTCCTCCACATCTGAAAAAATATCACTGCATTTATTACAGCTATTTTTCAGAGTAAAAGAGGAGAGATGAATTACTGTTTCGAAAATGGTAATGAGAGAGAAATACTTGAATAATGTATTAGATCCTTCAATTCAGCAAATGACAATAAAATAAATAATAAAGAATCCATTAAACAAAGGAACAACCTGACGAGGGAAATGCAATGAGTAGAAGCATGTGCTAAGGCAGGAAATTAGTACTGATACTGTGGTCTGCACATTTGTTATTCCTTAATCCCAGTCCACTGGGCATGGCAGGGAAGATTTCAGTCTCTGAGTAGTCATACATTAAATTACTTACACAATTCTTTCTTCTCACTAGTCTTCACATCCCCTAAGGTTACTAATTGTTGCTTACTCATCTCCATAACTCTAGCACCTAGAGAACTACTGATAAAATTATCTCTAATAAACCCAAAAGAAATTGCACAGAAAAATCTAATGATAATAGTGAAGAAGTTCAACTGACCAGATAGATATAAAAATGTGCATCCTAACTCGCTTGCTCCAGTCTTTTCATTTTAAACTTCAGAACTTCATTTTCAATAGATAATATTGGGACCAGACAACAGTGGTACAAGTGGAACTATTAATATCTCACTAGAACAAGAAGAAAACAGTTCTTCATTAGGCAAATCATGAATCAAATTCCTCTGACTGATTTTCAAGAAAAAGAAAGTTCAAAATTAACCTCTTGTGGGTTTTGCAGTACACAAGATATTTAGGTTAAGTATGAGAACTAAATACAGAAGCTTGCTGAAGGTGAGTCTTTATGGTCTTCTGTGTTCCTCCCTCTGACGTGATTCATCAGCAGGAGGTATTGCAACTTTTCATTGCATGCTGCTCCACCTCCAATCATGGTGTATCTACAGGGACAAATACTGGGGCTTTACATGTCTGTTGAGAGCCCAGTTTAAAGAACATAAGAAAGAGAATATGGAGAAGCCAACACAGCTACTGAGGGAGGCAGAAGAATAATTCTGAAAAAATCAGTATCCTCAGCTATATATCTTCCCTGACTCTACTGGGGGCATGCACCTCTTATGATAGGTAGAGTGCTCCAAGGCTCCAGAATGGTGCTTAGATTACTAGTATCCTTCTGAGAAAGCAATGTATCATGATTACTTTTCCAAGAGAGACTACTGAAGAAACTGAGGATGGAAGTCTGGGATATGGGGGGTTAGGCACCTACAGGAGGAAGCACCACCTGATAGTACTATGACTGAAGCTTTGCCTCTTGCCGGAATGAAAGGTGACTTGTCATCCTTGTGGTGGCATGTGGTAGCATATTGTGACCAGACCACGGGAGTGACTGGTGTGGATACAGGCTCCTCACTGCTCATGCTTGCAAGTGAAAGAACTTACAAAACATGTTCAACCTTGCCCTAATAAAATAATTAAATGTTGGGGCAGGAAATAAAGATAGAATTGCAGTGTCTTTTACATAAACTGTGAGAGAAGTCCATAGTCATCAATTCAACAGTTAAATATGGACCAGCAATATAACACCTTTCAAACCCTCCAAGAGTTACACATCTTTTTAAAATAAGATACTAGAAGCTGATAACAATTTATCCTAAATGCCAATGAGCTGCTCAATCAAAGTCTGAATTATTGTTCTCTATTCTTATAAAACCATATTCTCATATCTTCTTATAAAACTGAGCTATGTTCTTAGACATAGATACTACCCAAATAGAGAAAGACTAAAAATTAACTAAGAAGTTATGTGCTTACAAGTTCTTAGGTTAAGCCTCTTGTAGTTATTGTTCCAGGAAAGCATATTTCTGGGATAAT